AGGTTAAACAAAGGACCATGCTCAGGCGGTTAGTCGTCGGTTTCTTGCCGTGGCGGCCCGGGATCGATCTTAGGTCGAGTCATGTGGGATTTGTGGTGAACGAAGTTGTGCTGGGGCGGGTTTTCTCCCAGTACTTCGGAAGTACCACTAGGAAGACCTAGATATAGATGGGAGGATAATATTAGAATTTAGTTTAGAGAAATAAGATGGGGTGGCATGTACCTGATTCATGTAAGATTTGAGGCTTTCACGGCGGTGACTATGAAGAAAGCAGTCTTATGGGATTTGGCACCGTGTATATGTGGTGTTAACCGACGTTTCGGAGGAACGTATCGCCTCCATCTTCAGGGTAGAAGAAAAAATATAAGAAATCTGCAAGCAAAGAGACCGTGAGAACCGGTAAAAGCAGACTGCTTTCTTTACCTGATTCATGTTTTTTCAGGATAGGGATTGATGACGAGGTGCTGTGAAAATTTTAATGAACTTTCGGATTCTACGAAATGTTGGGAATATCTTGAGAAACTGAGTGAGTGTTGGCTTCTCGAGAAGGAGTCATCTGCATGGAGTTAATTAGTTTTGTTTTCCACATAGGTGGCAGCGGTTGGGATCTTATTAAGTATACTACTCGTAAATGAATGTGGTTATTACTAATATTGCAGTTACATGGACATGTCTAATTGTCTTTAGTTTATTTAATGTGTCTGACGCCTGTGGAACTTCGTCTTCTGCTGTCTTCCATTGTTTGGTTTCCATTGTACTGAGATATATGTTTTATTGTGTGTGTGTGTGTGTGCGTGTATTTGAAGACGCGTCAGTACCGACTGCTATATCCACCTCGACAGCAATCAAGGTAAATCTTATTTTACAAAAAGTAAATCAGTGTAAAATGTAATAAAAAGGAACTGGTTTCAAACTGCGAAATTATCTGACTAATAAAGGATTATAGTCTACGGTGAAAGAACATTTCATTTTAAGCTAATATTCTTAATAATATACGCTGTATTATTTCACTTCCAATAACAGCTGTAGCGGCTAGAATCGAACTCGAAACTCCTTGAATAAAACACTTTTGTTTAGGACACAGAATTTTTACTAAGAATTGGTTCGTTCCCAGCTGCTGGTACTAATATGCAAAGTGACAGCAGTGAGGAAACACGTGTCATTGTAGGTTAGTCGCCCTAAGACTGCTGGAGAACGCAAAAATGGCTTATGTCATGTTTACGTCTGAAGTGTTTCGCCAATATGTGACGTAGTTGAGGATGTAAGACGTATCTTGTGATTCCGATATTTAGTTGTTATTTATTGATTGTATTGTATGGTTGCTGGCTGAGGACCATATCCAGTGACATTACAAACTCTGTGGTTTTAGTCCGCAAGCGAATTATATCGACCGAGCGACCGCCGCTTGTCGGCGAAGTTAGTGCCAACTTTAGCGGATAAAGGGTGTCGCGTGGTCAGCGCAAGGATTTCCCACGGCCGTTAATTTTGGTTTTCTACACTGGGACCAATATTTCCTTGAAATAACTCATCAATTATCCTCAGGAGGCTGAGTGGACCCCGTTCCAGACGACTAACTCTCAGAAAATGTGGTAGTGCCGGGAATTGAACCCGGGCCCTCTGGATCTGTAGCCAGGAACTCTGACCACTAGACCACAGAGTGACGTTACTGTTTTTATTTAACGATGCCTTTTCTTCGTTTTAGATTAGCATAATTAAATTATAAATAAATGCTTTGTGCATTATTGACCGCCTCTACGGTCTAGTGGTCAGAGTTCCTGGCTACAGATCCAGAGGTCCAGAGATTTTCTGAGAAGTAGTGGGTCCGAAACGGGGTCCACTCAGCGTCCTGAGNTTTCCCACGGCCGTTAATTTTGGTTTTCTACACTGGGACCAATATTTCCTTGAAATAACTCATCAATTATCCTCAGGAGGCTGAGTGGACCCCGTTCCAGACGACTAACTCTCAGAAAATGTGGTAGTGCCGGGAATTGAACCCGGGCCCTCTGGATCTGTAGCCAGGAACTCTGACCACTAGACCACAGAGTGACGTTACTGTTTTTATTTAACGATGCCTTTTCTTCGTTTTAGATTAGCATAATTAAATTATAAATAAATGCTTTGTGCATTATTGACCGCCTCTACGGTCTAGTGGTCAGAGTTCCTGGCTACAGATCCAGAGGTCCAGAGATTTTCTGAGAAGTAGTGGGTCCGAAACGGGGTCCACTCAGCGTCCTGAGGATAACT